GCTTCATGAATAGCTAGGATTATAAACAGAAGCCACCAGTGCCTGGTTCAGAGAAAACTTTGTGGAAAGTGCTGTTAAGCAGAGAGCTGACTGGCCATTATGGAAAAGATGGGTTTGTATTTCATTTTACTCATTTGGGCCTTTCTAGCACTTGCCTGACCTTCAAAAGGCATGTTTACTTTTTTTCCTACTTTTTTATTTTTTTTAAACCTATAAATAGGAAAAAAAAACCTATTCTTTCAAGAATTAAGAATTTTCTCATTTTATACAATATGGGTATTCTAAGTGATCACCATAAATATTTTATTGGTGGCTGAATAATAGAATACGTTTTCTCTTTATAGGAAGCATCTGGTGGGATAGACTTTTGTTTGAATGAATGTTTTATGTGCTGTTGACTTAAAACATTTAAAAGGAGGTTTTAATGAACCTACCAATAGTTTCTTTTGCTATTCTTGTTAGTCAGGAAATTGAATCCTTAAGTGTTAGCCAGCCGGCCGAGGGCAGACAGCTTAGAAACTCTTTAAATGTAGAATGTGCTGATTATTTCTGCTTATCCAGTCCTAAAACTGTGCATTAAAAAGAGTATATGCTACTAAGATTATTTTTAAAATACTGAAAAAAACCTTTGATAACCATGTAAATATTAGGAGATGTTGTAGCATCCAGGTATAGCTATTTACATTTTGCTGCATTTCATATTGATTGGCTATCTTTTTATTAATTTCATTGAGATTTAATTTACACAAAAGTATTGATTTTAAGTGTTGGGTGCTTTCTAATGATTGTATGAATATTGATTTTTTGGTATGTATGTGGAGTACCTTTGTAGGTTCATTTAATTATCACTACTACAAGACTATACAGTAATATAATACCAAAAATTTCCCTATGTGGCTTCTTTGTGGTCAACTCTCTTAGCCCTAAACCTTTGACAACTAATGTTGTTTTCTCTGTCCTTGTAATGTGACTTTTCCCAGAGCGTCATAAATGGAATCATATGGTATGTGGTATTTTGAGGACTGGCTTCTTTCTGTTGGTATAATGTCTTTGTAATTTATTCACATTGAATGTGTCAAAGTTTCTGAGCACTGTTTCATGTTATTGATGAGTACTGTTTACCCTTTGAAGGGCACTTGGTTCTTTCTCCCTATTGGCAATTGATAATAAAGCTGTACAGTAGTGAACATTTATATACAGGTTTTGCTAATAGCATAGGTTACCTCCTTCCTTCCTTCCTTCCTTCCTCTTTCTCTCTCTCCTTCCTTCCTTCCTCCCTCCCCCTTTCTCTTTCTTTCCCTTTCTTTTTTTCTTTCTCTCTCTCTCTCTTTCTTTCTTTCTCTCTCTCTCTCCTTCCTCCCTCCCTCCCTCCTTCCCTTCTTCCCTCCCTTTCTTCCTTTTTCTGGGGCTTGAACTCAGGGCCTGGGTGCTGTCCCTGAGATATTTTGCTTAAGGCTGGCACTTTACCACTTGAGCCACAGCTTCACTTCCAGCTTTTTGGTGGTTAATTGGGGATGAGTTTCACTGACTTTCCTGTCTGGGCTCACTTTGAACCACAATCTTCATAGCTCAGCCTCCTGGATAGCTATAATTACAGTTGTCAGCCACGAGTGTCTGCAAAACAATGTAATTTTGTAGTATACCTATGGTGTAATCTAACTTTTCAGCAAAATGTGAGGTTTAGGTTGAGGTTCATTTTGGTAACATGATGTCCAATTGTTTCAACATTGTTTGCTGAAAATGAACACGATCCTTTCTACATTGAATTGTCTTTGTAGTTGGTCATATCTGTATGGGTCTGTGCCACTATTTTGTTTTCTGTTGCATTGTATTCTCTCAAAGTTGTTTTGATTCATCTTGTTCTTTGCTGCCCCAAATAAGTTTTGTAATTAGCTTGTCTGTGTTAAAAAAAAAGCTGCCAGAATTGATTGAAATGTTATTAAATCTATATAAAAATTTCAAGAGAATTGACATTATTATTATATTGACTCACCCAATCTATGAATTTATTAGAAGTCTTTTCACTTATGTCTGTCTTGAATTTCACAAACATTTTGTGGTTTTAAAAGTATAGTTTGTTTTATTAGATTTATACTTAAGGGTTTTAGGTTTTAGAGCTGTTATAATGTAAATGAGAGACTGCCACCTCATTCATGGACTTATTATGTGTGGCTTAGATTCCTGCGCCTGCATCAGGCAGCTCACTTGTAAGGCAGAAGCCCTTAGTCTCACTTTAGTCACGTGGGTTTAAATCATTGTGAGAGCAATTGAGTGTTTGCCTGTCTCTTAGTTTTTGAAACTCTTACCTTCCAAAAAAAAGCATGGTACCCCAAAAACAAAGTAAAATTTAATGTGCTTAATTTAAATAATAACTGAGACTCAGAGAGGAAGGAATCTTGAGAGAATGAAGGTTGAATTGATATTGTCTCTTAAGCCCCTGGTCGTCACTGGGGTCTGAGCATGAGTAATGACTGTGAATGGAAGGGGAACATAGATGTGTGACCTTTAGAGAGGGGCTTCAATTGCTATTACTTCTAGTTTTTTTTTTTTAATTGAGCAAGTTATATGATACACACTTCAAAAGATGAAAAGGGTATATAGCATATTTCCAGATGATGCGTGCCATTTAATCCAGAAAGTGTGTACTCATAGTCCCTGCCCCCCTTTTGAATTTACAACACATTTTATCATAGCCACCATCTGTGCAATAGACCACTAAAATTTATTCCTCCTAACTGAAACTTTTAACCCTGTCTAGTATCTCTCCTTTCCCTCTCTCACCTACCTTTTATTTAAATGGTAACCTGATGAATATGATGTTCTAAGAGATAGTGTTTTTATTTGACATTACATCTTGGAGATAATTTCAGTGAGTCCACAAAGTAGTCTTCTTTTTTTTTTGTGGTTCTGTAATACTCCACTGAGCAGTTCTACCATAACCTACTTAGCCATGACTAGTTGGCTTTCAACAATTGCAGTTAACTACAGACCTTTAAAATTTGTTAAAGGAAGTGTAACATGCCTATAGACATGAATAGTTCCATGGATTATTATAAAAAGAAAACAGGCTCATGACCACCACCAATATTGAGAAGAAGCAATTATATCAATACCCCAGAAGCATACTGCATTGCTCCTCCTAAAGCCCATGCCATCCTCTTGGACCGATTTCCAAACCCTTCCTAGCTTGTGTTTCCGATACCCTCTTATGCAAAGGAGAGGAGTAGGAGTCTTTCACAGACAGACTCAAAGCTGAGGGAAGTAGAGAGAGGGAGTATGGGAGGTAGTGGTAGGACTTGGGAAACATTTTCTTGTGTAAGCATGGTGTTGTAAATGTACAAGGAAATTGCTCTAGTGAGTAGGCTCATGTCTGTTCTAAGAGTTGGGTTAGCCTTCTCATTAGTCTGCTAAGAAAAGCTTTCTAAGTGACCTAACCAAAAAAACCAAATATTGGTTGGGGGAGTCAGCAAGGTCAGAGGCTCAGCTCTTCCAATTGATATATAGCTGGGTTGTTAGTACTTTTGCAGTGTTGAAGTGTTGCTCTAAGGATTGAGGTACCTAGAGGTACTCACACCATATATTCTCAGTAAATACTAGTTTTCTTGGTATATTTCCTCTACACTTTTTATTTTGACAAATTTCAAACTTGGGGAAAAAGTGTAAAACAGTACAGATACCTAGATTCACACACACTTTTTTTTTTTGGCTGGGATTTCAACTCCAGGCTTGTGCTTGAACTTCTGTTTGTGCAGCTTGTTTGTTTCTGTAGCACTCTACTAGTTGAGCTGTACTCTAGCCCTGCATTTTTGCTGATCCTTTTAGAGAGGGAGGCTCATAGAGTTTCCTGCTTAGGCTGGGTTTGATTCTAGATTCCTTAGTCCTCAATCTCAATCTAATTCAACACTAATTATTCAGTTCCTGAATTGGCCTACAAAACTGTTCAATTCCTGAATAGTATTATAGGCTTGAGCCACTAGTGTCCAGCTTCTACAATTTCTTTACCTCTTTTTTTTTTTTCTCTTTCTCCACTCATTAGTGAATCAGTTCCAGACATCACTCTATCGAAGCACCCTTACATACTCAGGAGAACTCTGTCCTCTAAAATCATAATGCTGTAATATTATATAAAGTTGCGCTTTCCCCACTTAGCATAATGAGGACTTTTAAGATCAATGGCACTTAATAGTCATCTCCTTTAACCTATGCTTATTTAGAAAGGTTCCTCATCCAGTTTTGCCACAGGTTTTCATTAGGATTTTCAGATCTGATGTTTTGCATAAAGTCCTTCTATTCAGCCACTCTTCTTGACTAGATTCAGGTTAATGGTTGCATGGAGCACCCTAGACGGAATCGTTGGCTCAGCAATTCATTTCAGCAATTCATATCAGTTTATCCCATCAGTGCTGAGGAGAGATTTACCTGCTTACCCTGGTTGTAAAATTTCTAAATTGTAAAGTTACCTTTTTGTAATTAATAAGTTGGCTGTGGGAAGGTATTTTGAGATGGAATATCCTACTCCTCATGATCTTTTGTCTGGTGTTTTTAGTGTTGATAATTCTTACCTGAATCAATTATTTCATGAAAGTAAAGTAATAGTGGTTTTCTATTCCTGTTATTCTTCTACATCTACTAACTAGGTTTTTTTGGTAAAGACAAAGTGTCCTCCCTGTCCCCCTTCCTTTTCCCTCCTCCCTCTCTTCTCCTTCTCCTTCCCCTCTCCCTCTTTTCTTTATCCCATTGATATAGAGGCATTAGTTCTTTCTTTCTTCAGTCATTATTAATTTCTGTCATTCATTTTGATTATTAGATAGTTCTAAATTTGTCCAGCAGGAGCCACCTAATTCTTCTGGGTTGGTGTAATTGTACCTGTGGAAGCTTTTTCTAGTGTTACCATTGAATTCATTTCAGAGCCTTGAGCCATGGGGATGAATGCAGGTACCACCCATCAGATTCTCTCCTTTCCCCTTGCTTTAGACAACTCTTCTGTGTTTATTTTCCAGCAAATCACTGAACTGAAGAAAGAAAACTTTAACCTGAAGCTCCGTATCTATTTCCTTGAGGAAAGAATGCAGCAGGAGTTTGATGGCCCTACTGAACAGGTCTACAAAACTGTGAGTGTCTTCTGCTAAGTTGTTCCAAGTAGATAGCTGATATTTATTCTCAAAATTAGCATGAGTAGATAGAGCTGTTTGATTTGGTGGGTGGTGGTGGTAGTGGGGAAGATGCCAGGATGGCCCTCCTTTTAAGCAAAGAGGTGCATGATTAAGTCTTTTATACTTTAACATTGGAATTCTGGTTCACTGTCTACCTTGGTTGTCCTTTTGTAAGTATTTATTGTAGAGAAATAAGCAGTGGACTGATACAATGTCTCTGGAATTGAATCCTATTGTTACCAACTATTTGGGTAACTTTGGGCAAGTGGTTTCAGCTCACTTGACATGCTGCCAGTGTTGAGTGATGATCCTGATGTCATCAGGTTATTTGTATGACTAAATGGGATGAGAGATGAAAAGCTCTGCACCCTTTGGTGCTTGACAGTTGCCATCATTGCATTGTCTCATTGAGCTGCCTTCGACTGCCCAAGGTAACTATTGTCAGGTTTCCTGTGATCCGACTCCTCTGTATTCCTGTGTGCTTGCTTGGAACTGCCAGAAAAGAAAAAAAAAAGGCTATTCTGATTTGAAGTCTTGACCTGGAGGTCTTTGTCTGAAAACAAACCTTGGTTCTCAAAGTTGAAAAAAGAAGTTGGCTTTCTTGAAAAGACATGAGTACAAACAGTATCTCAGTGCCCATTTCTTCACTTTTTCTGGTAGATTAGCCCTTGGCCTGGGAATTATTCTATCTTTTCTCCTCTGAAGTTTGAACAGTGGAAACTTTTGAAGGAGAAATGTAAAGGGGCTTTTCTTGAAGAGGGATTGTGCTCCCTCCAGCCCTTTCAAGAGCTGAAAAACTTTGTTGTCCCTGAAGGCATAGTGATCTTCTTTCAGTGTGAGGGCGGGGACACAATGTCACCCCATTTCTGGAAGGAAGTGTGGTACCCTTTTTCTCTTTTAAGGAAAAAAAAAAAGCAATGTGTAAGCATGGTGGTCTTGCACCTGAGAACTTGGGAAGCCAACTATTGCGGGCTGTGTTGTGGTCTGCCTTGGGCATTGTTGGGATAGCATCCTATGGGGAGGAAACTGAGGCTGAGGAAGATGAGTGACTTGTTTCATGTCATATAGCTGCTCTATGAAGTAGATTTTGAGGCCTGGCCCAGGCCAGTACATTATTGCCCTATGCCCCATTAGATACTCTTTTGTACTATTGAACTAGATAGCCCCTCCCCACTTTTATTTTTCAGTTAAGTTTTTGGATAGGGGCATGTGGATAGAATTTTAAATATAACATGAATGTATAGCAAAGATGTGCTTTCACTCTGTTCTTCTGAGTCTGTAAATCTCACCAATATATGGCTTCCATGTACAGAGGGATACTAGCAAATGAGAGAGAGAGAGAGAGAGAGTCTGTGTGTGAAACCACTTTATATTTTTCACTTAATGGTATCTTGGATACTTCTCTTTGATAGTAATTTAAGTGCTGCTTTATTCTTTTTTTTCTGGATAGAATATTTATTACGTATACATTACATCTATCTATGTATACATAGAGAATATATATAATATTCCATTTGTACAGAAATTTACAATGTAGTCTGTGACTTCAATTATTGGGATAGAGGTAGGCATACTCCCCACCCTGTATTTTTGCCATCGTACCAGCAAAAGCATGCCACTCCCTCCCTCCCTCCCTCCCTCCCTCCCTCCCTCTCTCCCTCCCTCCCTCCCTCCCTTTCTTCCTTCCTTTTGTCGGTCATGGGGCTTGAACTCTGGGCCTGGGCATGTCCCTGAGCTCTTCAGCTCAAGACGAGTGCTCTACCACTTGAGCCACAGTGCTACTTCCAGTTTTCTGGTGGTTAATTGGAGATAAGAATCTCGGGCTGGAGAGGTGGCTCAGTGGTAGAGCGCTTGCCTTGCATGCTCGAGGCCCTGGGTTCGATTCCTCAGCACAACATAAGCAAAAAATAAAAAGCCGGAAGTAGTGCTGTGGCTCAAGTGGTAGAGCGCTAGCCTTGAGCTGAAGAGCTGAGGAACAGCGCCCAGGCCCAGAGTTCAGGCCCCACAACCGGACCCCCCCAAAAAAAATTGTATCATAGACTTTCCTGCCCTGGCTGGCTTTGAACTGGGACCCTCGGGTCTCAGCTTCCTGAGTAGCTAGGATTATAGGCGTGAGCCACTGGCGCCCAGCTACTTCTTTCTTTTTTATAGCTCTAAAATAGTCCATTTTATGCCTCAAAGGCATCCTGACTTTTGGGTTGGATATCATTATCGTCATATACCTAAATTTGTACCCTGAGATATTGGGCCTTGGAAAAGTAGCCTAATGGACATGACATGTCTGCTAGCCATGGGATAAAATTTATTGGGTTGGACACCAGTTGCTTCACCTGAAGAGCAGCACTCTTTAAGTACAGTGTATCAGCTTGCTGCCCTCATGAGAGCTGGGGAGATCCTCTGCTTGAAGAGTGTTTATGCAGCCTTCATGGAGCCACACTGGAGACATTGTACTGACACTCAGAGTCTAGCCTTTGTAGGCCATTCTTCTAGAAAAAGTTGTGCCTTGTAGATGACATCTTCATCTCTGGTTGTTTGGCAGCCAAGAAGACAATGTAGGCTTTGCTCATTTGCTATTTAGTTAGTCCTTCAATCCTCCTTCCATGCAGATGTCTTGGTTTTTCATTTGACAACTAAGGAATCTGAAGGAACTTTGCTTTCTCACCTCCTGGACTTGGCCGTCTAAGGTCAGGCTCAGGGTCACACTTCTAGTTTTGTCTTCCTTGTTAGCATGAAGGCAGGGCCTGTGCTTTGTTCATCTGGTGCTCTTAGTGCTAGATTTGGCCCTGTGAAAGAGTGAACCATTGACTTACTGTTCTCTACCGAGAAACAGTAGAGGCAGCATTTGAACCCATGTCCTTCTAGTCCCATGCCATGACCTTTTCATTTTGTCTGAATTTTTTTTGTGTGTGTTGGTCCTAGGAGAGAGAGAGAGAGAGAGAGAGAGAGAGAGAGAGAGAGAGAGAGAGAGAGAGAGAGAGAGTGTGTGTGTGTGTGTGTGTGTGTGGTGTGTTTAATTGGAGATAGAAGTTTTATGGACTTTCCTTCCAGGGCTGACTTTGAACTGTGATTTTCAGATTTTAGCCTCCTTTTTAAGATTTTTTTTTTAATCATCGGTAGTGGGTCTTAAACTCTGTGCCTAGGCATTGTCCCTCAGCTCTTCAGCTCAAGGCAAGTGCTTTAACACTTGAGCCACAGTGCCACTTCCATTTTTCTGGTGATTAATTGAAGATAAGAATCTCATGGACTTTCCTGCCTAGGCTGACTTTGGACTGCAGTCCTCAGATCTCAGCCTCCTGAGTAGCTAGGATCACAGGCATGAGCCACCAGTGCCCAGCTTGGCTGAATTTAGGATTAATGTGGGGTACTTCCTCCCCAGGGCAAGAAAGAGGGAAGCATATTCCTTGAGATTTTAAATTGGAAGACTTATTTTAATTTAAAATAATGCATGCATGTTACAGAGTAGAGTGTAACATTAATGTGAATTCCTAAAATAAATCAGGATAGAGAATTCAGAGAAATTTTGGATGTGTAGCAGTCCTCTGCAAAGTAGATGCTTACAGCCTGTCTCTCCTGCATAACTCATGTCATATCCATCTCCATCCGTTTGTGGATAGTTTGAGAAGCTCACCATTGCACCATGGTCTCACATGGTTTCCATCTGCCAAAGATTCTGTCTTTGGATTTTTTTTTTTTTGGTGCAGGCACTGGGTCTTGATCTCAGAGCCTGGTTGCTATCCCCTCGCTTCTTTTTGCTAAAGGCTAGTGTTCTACCACTTGAGCCAGAGCTCCACTTTTTGCTTTATCTAGGTAGTTCCTTGGAGATGAGAGTCTCACGGACTTTTCTGCCTAGTCTGGCTTTGAACCTTGATTCTCAGATCTCAGCCTCCTGTATAGCAGCTAGGATTACAGACTGGCATCTGGCCTGTCTGTGGATTCTTATGTGAATTGTAAGCCTTAGGCTGTGTAGGACTCCCTTTGTTTTAGTTTGTTAGTTGAAGAACACTGAAGTCCCTTTGAGACAGCTTGCCCCTTGCTATTGTGGTTGTTTTGTGAGTATCCTCAATTCTTATATTGAAACAAGAGAGGCCATGCTGAGACCACCTTCTTATCTCTTCACAGGTGTTACTTTTTTTTTTTTTAAAGCCATAACATGTTCCTACAGCTGCAGCTACCACATGCATGATTGTAAACAACCAGAAGTAATTGCCTTGGAATGGCAAAAGCAAACTGTAAATTTGCTTGGCGGAGGGCAAACAATTTTTAAATCAGCTTCACTTGTATGGCATTTATGCCTAAGTATTAGAATGCTCTGGCTGTTAGAAGCTTGGAGTATTTACATAATTGTTCCAAGTCCTAAGAAATCCAGGGGCTTTTTTTTTTTTTGAGACCACCAGTGTTTAATAATTCCCCTTTTCCTGAGCCCTGAGGCTAATGAGCGTTTTGAATCTAAGATCTGCTGTTAGGAGCATTGTGCAGTCAATCCATGCTAAAAGTAGTTTGCCCACCCTCGGTGTCTGGAGGTTCTGTGTCTTACACTGATTCTTTTCTTTCCTTATGTTGTCTGGAAGAACATTGAGCTCAAGGTGGAAGTAGAAAGTCTGAAGCGGGAGCTCCACGAGAGAGAGAAACTGCTCATCAAAGCCTCGTGAGTACTGTCATACTTCAAAAGCTTGCAGTTTGCTGGAGCTTCGCATAGTGGCTGCTAAGCTGGCCAGTGAGATACACTCAGCTGCTTTCTCAAGTCAGCTGTTCTCTGACTGGCCTCTGAGGACCCTAAGGAAGTCTTTGTTTTTGTTTAATTACCTATTTTCAAGTGTAACATAGCTATGGAAAATGATCAGGACTCAAGGGTACAGCATGATAGATTTTCCCAGACCTAGCACACGGTCACCATCCTGATTAAGAGGCTTCTTTCATGCTCTTAGGACTCAGACTCTGCCCCCAAGGTGACACTGCTAACTACTGTTACCACAGATTGCTTAGTTCTGCCTGTTTCTGAACTTGGTATAAATGAAGTTGTGCAGTGTGTCTTTGTGTGTGTGTGTTCTTTTCTCTGCAGTGTATTTGGGAGATTTGCCTGTAGTGAATTATGTCAGTTGTTCATCCATTATCATTGCTGTACAGCCTGGGGCATGAGAACAGGTCCTGGTATGTAAGGCAGGGAGGACAGGGTGGAGCTTCAGCCTTGGAACTTGGTTTCAAACCTGTTACATGAATTCCAGTGTCTTTTGTAGTATTTTGTTTGAAGGAGATTTTAATAACATACATTATCTGAAAGCTAGTATTTCCATTAATTAGTTTCTTTATTCAGATGTTTATTGAAGAACACACACAGGAAGGAGACCATAGCTGATGGAGGGGTTGATTCTTTACTCATTCGTCATTGCTTATTATATAATAGATGAGGATCTGAAGAAGATGCCTTCTTACCCCCAGAACTGACCAGGATGGCTGAGAGGAGTGTTACCAGTCAGAGTGGAGGTGCAGTGAGAGAGGGCATTTATGGGAGAAGTAGGGACACCATGTGTGTTTGATTTTTTTCAAGAGAGTGGAATAGACATCCCAAGGTTGACCCACCGAGGGATGTGGCAGCGAGCTCCTGCTGGCTGTGGCAGGCCAGGAGCCCGAGTCTGGCATAGGGCATGCTGTACTACTCTGGGGCAGAGCTGTTACTAAGCATCTGTGGTGTGCTGTGCTGTACAAGTTCCTCTCATGGCCAGGTGTCCAGCAACTAGAAGTTGGCCTGTGCTGGCTTTGAGCAGATTAGACTCAGGCCACCTCTGAATCTTTTTGAACTTGCACACTTTATATTTTCTGAATGAATTAATGACTATGACCAGATTATTAATCAATTAATTAATTTATTTATTGCCACATCATTCTCTGGGCAAATCTGCTTTAGCGGGCCTGAAGATCAACAATAGAGTGTTCAGTTTAATATTCATTGCACTGCCTGCTGTAGGTCTCCCAACTCCCAAGAACCTGTGTTGTTCCTCAGTATTAGCACACAGACTGGAGTGTTTTGGGGCCTTGCATACACAAGTTTCTATGTATATATTTCTCAGACTGCCTCAGAGCTTGAGGCCATTTATAATCTGACTCATAACTTCCTTAGAAAATAATTACAAAGCAGCTAGATGTGCTATGCTGGACAAATTCTTGGGGTTCTAGGGGTGATTTGAACACAAGGCTTCATGTTAGTGGGCACGATGGGTATGAACACTGGCTGTACTACAAACTGGAGGAAGGCCTATAAAGAGAGAACAAGGAGCTTCATCAGTAGATATGTAGATGTAGGTATGCAAGTACATCTAGAGGTACCTACCCACATCTAGATGTACAGAGGAGATGTGAGTTGTGAGTGGTAATTAAACAGTGAGTGGATGAAGAAATGTTGGAGAAGGTATTGTGTTAGTCTAAGATCAAATAAGCAAGGGACACCACCAAGAGTTGCTTTTGAAAAGGTTGCTGTGATGCTGGGTGGGAAATAGTTGGTGGAAGGAACTGGAAATAAAGAAAGGAAGCCAGTGAGGAAGCTAACCTGGTGCATGAGCAAGGGCTGCGTTGTGGACTATGTGTGTGAGAGGCGGATATGAAAGATCTTTTGGAGGCAAAGTCAGTAGGCATTGGTGACTGGTGAGAAGGTAGCATCATGAAGGCCATGAGCTCCCTTTAGGAGTGTTCACAGTGACATAACCACTCGAGCTTCCTCTCTACCAACTCTGGGTCCCACACACAGTTGGTATGCTTGCTCCTGTGTGATGACTGACTGCCCCTGCTGATCTCTGCCCCTTCTCAGCCTCTCCCAGCCTAATGCCTTTCCTGTCACTTTGCCCTCTGTACAGGTTCAAATGGGCCATGTGCAACTTCTTCTGCCCACATTGGCCTCCTCACAGACTCTGTCATACAATGAGAGTCCTATGTGTAGCACTTTCTGGGGGAGAAAACATTTCCACTCCAAGTACATTGCATCCTTATCCTGGGAGCCAGGCAAACCCACATGATGTCTTTGTTTTATTGAAGAAGGGTTTAGGCCTAGCGAAGGATGGGCTGTGACTTGTATTCAGGAAGGTCAGCACTAGAGCTAGAACTAGTCCCAGTGTCTTACCAGAGTAGGTTTCCTGCTCTGTCTTGTGTTTGATTTTCATGTATAGACAGCATGTATACGGTGTCTATGTGGCTGTTCTGTATCTATCATGTAACTACTAGTGTGCCTTTCCCTTTGTTCCTAGTTACCCAGCACCACAGGAGTGTGTCTGTGGCTAACACGTGTTGATGGAAAGTGTATTACTGTTATGCCTTCACCACCTTCCCTTCTCAGTTAGGCATTTTGGTGGGGGATAGGGTGGGACATGGCACCCAGCACAGGAAAATCTCTATGAGCTATAAGTAGAGTGGCAAGGATGCAGAGGAAATGTTGATGATGGAAAAGGGTCACGGATAGCGATTGTGGGAGTGCTTTCTAATGTGTAGAAAGCTGGAGTAGACAGTTCCCATTAGGACTTGCCGTCTAGCTGGTCTCTTAGCCCGGATTCTACAAGAAAAGGCAGGGGAAGAACGAGAACTAACAATAGTCAGATCCTGCTTTGCCCCAAATCTGTGCCTGGCATTAAATGTGCTTTCTTGTGTTTATACCAGTTGTGTGAGACAGCCAGTGTTCCCATTTCGGTGAAGTGAAGACTGAGGCCTAGAATGCAGGGAACTTGTCCGAAATGGTAACAGAACAGAGTCTGGTCTGGCTCTAGTGCCCAGAAGATGTTTGTTTGTTGGTTTTTCCATTGTTATATTCATCAGTTATGGTAAGGGGGCATTAAAAGCAAAAGCAGTCATATTGTTGAGAGTACATTTTATCTCTGTAGCTTTAAAGCACAAACAAAAAATAATAATTCCATTAGCAGAAGAAAATTGCACCATACTGCTGAGTATAAATTTTATTGCTACAGTAACTGTAAAACACAAAGATGATAAATGAAAAGTTGGAGCATTTATTATTGGGAATATATTTTATTGGTATAACTAAAACACAAACAAACTGAATAATACCAGTAGTTGTTAAAAATTGTAGTCAGCCTCTTGACAGTGTATGTGATTCAGGCTGTAAAAAGCCAAGGTTAGAGCAGGGCTGACAGATTGATGGGAGGGAGACTGTCAGGTGGGAATACAACAGGGTGAGGGTAGGGGCTATAGAAAGGAACTGTTGTATAGTGGGGCTCCATAAAGCCCAAGGGCTAAGACATTGTGAGCGTGTAGCTGAAATGCAGGCCTGGGAAGAACTTGTTCTAGGGCTCAGGAAGCAGGTGCAGCAAGGCTGATGTTCTTTTGGCCCTCTGTAATAGCGTAGGTAGGAATGAGGTTGAGTCCCTGTGATTTGAGACGGTGCTGACCCAGAAATGAGCAGAGAGAGTGGGGGCACTCTTATGACATGGGCATGGGGGCCTTGGTTCTGGCTGGGGATAATCTGTTCTCAGCTCAGACACTGGCACAAGGTCTCTCAACTGCTCAGCAGGGAGGGGTCATTGTGGCCCTGGGCTCAGATCCGGGGCTCATGAGCATAGCACTCCAATCAGGGAGGAAGAGGTGACCCCTGTGTAAGCATATTAATTCTACAAAGCAGTCATCTCATCTTCTCGTGTGAGGAAAGTGAAATATAATAGATGATTTGCTGAGACTGGTCATGCTGGGGAATGGAATGGAGCAGGAATTTGGAAGCAGATCTGTCCAGTGTCAGAGCCATGCCCATTCCTTCAGTTGTTCACACTGAGTTCTATTCACACAGCATTGCTGCGCTGGGGCTCCGAAGCCTTATTGGTGAGAGGAACGGCCAATGTGAATACAGTCTTTACTTGCAGGTGACGCCTGTTGGGGACTTGGACAGCAGGCATGGCCCTTTTGACTCTGTATTGTTCTCTGTTCATGTGACCTGCACATGTGCATGTCCAGGTCACGTGGAAATTTTATATACTTCTGAAGTAGTGCATAGAGGGCAACTGGAACTTTTTTTTTGCAGTTTTTCTGAGAAACCAGCTTTAGGTGGAGCCATTTCCTCTGTTATCTGCCTTTTGGAAACCTGCAGTCATTTAGAAGTCTGATGAGAACAGCTCAGAGTCGTAGGCTGTGAGATCCTGCTTTGCTTTCAGTGTTGGTGGCTTGGCCCCCGGGTCTAGCTTTGGAGCAGCGCTGTCCCCCACCTTAATTGTGCTGAGGGAATATTCCAAGGGGCCACAGCAGTGTTAGGCTTCATGATTTCCTTGCCTCATGCCCGAAGTGGTAGCTTGCACTCACACAGATTGATCCTGTCCTTCCGAAACTGCTCTTTCCTCTAGCTGGCAGGAGATGAAATACTGCTCCTTTGCATGGCGGTCTGTCAATGCTTTTCTCCTAAGCCACCAGTGGATGTGTCCTTTGTTGAAGCTCCCTCGCAGGAAGTATGGCAATAGCTATCTTGAGTGTTAAAAGAGTGCTTGCCCTTTGACCCAGCCGTTCCCTCCTGGGGAATCTTTTCTTGGGAAACCACTGGATAGTAACACACATAAGCTTTGGTCACAGTGCGGCTGTTAAATGCGACAGTGGCACTAGTGAGCATTGCATGACCATGGTCTTCAGGTCTTTATATTGTCAGACAGATGTATTAAATCAGAAACAATTTGCATGTATAAAGTGTAGGAAATTGACTTAATCAGTTACAGCATATTTCATAGAGTGAATTCATATGTAGCCATTAAACTGATGATTCAGATTATATTTACTGATAGGAAAGAATCAAATCAGTTTAGGAATGTATCAAATGCTTCTGTTTTTATAGAGCATGTCTGAAAGGCTGTATACCAAAATGTTGCCTTAGTTATCCTGGATTATAGATGATTCTTAACTTTTTCTTAACCTATATCTTGGAATTACAAATATTGGTTCTCTTCCCTCCCTCTCTCTTTTCCCCTCCCCTCCCCTCCCCTCCCCTCCCCTTCCCTTCCCTCCCCTCCCCTCCCCTCCCCTCCCCTCCCCTCCCCTCCTCTTCTCTTTTTTCTTTCTGCCAGCTCAGGTAAGTGGGAGGAACAATGAGTGAATGATTCTTGTATCTTTGGGGCTGGTGAAGGGACCCCTGGATTGCCACTCTCATGCCATCTGTCCCTTTGCCTCTTTGCAGCAAAGCGGTGGAGAGTTTAGCGGAAGGGGGTGGCTCTGAGATTCAGCGGGTGAAAGAAGACGCCCAGAAGAAGGTGCAGCAGGTAGAAGACCTCCTAACAAGAAGAATCCGCCTTCTGGAAGGGGTAGGTCTGGGAGTATGAGTGGCCATGTTTCGCACTGTGGTCTGACAGGGGAGACCCTCTGCTATTGTTTGTTTCATGAACTCTCAGGAGTTTTAGCAGTACCCAGCCACCCTCGTCCTCACTAAGTATCTCTTAGGTTCTAGCTCCATTTCTGGAAGTCTGTATTTATAATTTATAAGACCTCTGCCCAGCCAATTGGCCACAATTATCTTCATTCCTATTGGAGGATACACGGGATACACATTCCTGTTCGAGGAGGTACAGCCAGTACAAACAGTGCAGGTGAAATCCCAAATTTAAATTGGGTGCTGCTTTTCAAGTTGGGCTTTCTACAACATCACTGTTTATTGTCTATTTGGTCCTGTTGTAAAGCTGAGGAAGATGAATCCCACAGAAGGGAAAGACTTGCCTACTGCCAGGCGAGCCTACACCCAGCTTCCCGGGCCTCTAGCCATTGTCTCTTCTGCTGTTGTCCTCAGATCTGGCTTTCATCCTGCCATCTTGCCAGTACTCAATGATTGTCTCCTCCTTTTCCTGTGACCGTGGTTTGAATCCTAGCTAAAATATTCTGTCTCCTTTTAAGCTGATAGTCAATCATTCAGGTTGACTGTCCCTTTCTCAAGTGCTTGGGACCAGAAAGATTTTGGAGTTAAGAAAATTTGGAATATTTACTTATACACAATGAGATTATTTTATGATGGAGTCCAAGTGTAGACATGAAATTCACTTAGTTTCATGTATACTTTATATATAGAGCCAAAAGACAAGTATTTAGTGTGCTGGTATTTTGACTGCAACCTGTCTTGTGAGATTAGGTGTAGAATTTTCCTTTGTGATACTATGCTTGCACTCAGAAAGTTTTAGATATTGGAGCATTTTAGAGTTGAGGTTTTTTTTTTGTTGGTTGTGGGGCCTGAACTCTGGGCCTGGGCGCTGTCCCTCAGCTCTTTAGCTCAAGGCTAGCGCTCTACCACTTGAGCCACAGCGCCCTTTCCAGCTTTTTCAGCTTATGTGGTGCTGAGGAATCAAACTGAGGGCCTCATGCATACAAGGCAAGCACTGTACCACCTTCCCAGCCCCTAGAGTTGAGATTTTTATATTAAGGATGCTTAACTATTTAATTAAAAAAAATTTTTTTTTCTACAGGCCCACATTGGTCTAGCCAACATTGCTAACCTCCTACCCTTGCTCTCCTGCTGAGAACCACTGTACCCTGCTTAGTCTTGATTCAATCACCTTGCTGTTTTGAACTAGTACCGCAGTGTTTTGGAGTGGCACATCTCTGCTGTGTCCCTTGCTATCTTTGTCACTTTGGTATTTGCCTTCCCGGGGCCTGTGCTTCTTCATCTGAGGGAGGGGCAGCACACCTGCTCTGCAGTGGTGACAGCAATAATGAGTGGGGCTAATAGGCCATCGGGGTTCCCTCCACACTGATTCTTAGTTGATCCTTTCAGGGACCAATCAGGTAAGTACTCCATCACCCTTTCTCTTTCTCTTTTTTCCTTTTACATCAGAAACAGGCACAGTGTGGCCAAGTCACTTGCTCAAAGTCACCTGGGCAGTAAATATTAAGAGGCCTGGCTGCCAGCCTGCGTTGTAGACTCCTAGTATATCACACTATAGGGGTAGATGAGGGCAAAATCTGATATGAATTAGTGTTCTTCTCAGAGTTTGGCATTAGTAGGCACTCAGTACGTGACAGGCTTTGATTTGTGCCAGCTCTCATGGGCACGGACAGGCAAGACTTCTGGGAAGATGGAGCTGGGAAGGTAGGCACTAAGGAAAGGGCAGGAATAGCAAGCCAGTCCCTTCCTCAGAAGCTTTCTGCAGAAAGCATCTCCCAGCAGCTCTTCAATGAGATAGTGCTTATCCTGTTTTATAGAAGGAGAACTTGGAGCTCAAAGAGGTTAAGTATCTATCCAAAGTCCATACCGCAAGTACGTAGGAAAGTTGAGTGTTTTATTTGTGGAGACAGGGTCTTGTTATGTAGCCCAAACTGACCTGGGTAGCTCATACTGGCCTCAAATTCAGTCTTCTTGCCTTAGCTTCCAGAGTGCTAAGATTTGAGGTGTGCATCACCACACGCAGCATTAGCTAACTAGGTCTGAAAGCCAGTCCTTGTGATACATGATTCAGGTCTACTCCTAGGTCCCTTGAGTGAGCACTGAGGCCTTTCTCCCAACATAGACACTGCCTGTGTGTTTTAGATAATTTCCTTGGTGGCTTCTCTCAGCTCTCAGAAAGAGCACAGAGATTTTCACTGCTTAAATCACCTTGGAGATACGGAAAATGTACTTTAGAATTGTATAGTCATTACCTTAAAAAGACACAGTGAGGGGACGGTGGGGTGTGGGACGAATTTGAATGGAGATTACGATGACTTGGAAATTGATATGTGTTTAGTATTGAGAGGCGCATTTCTCCTTGTTCTCACTGAAGCTGTAAATATTGATCTGATTTTTCACAACCGAAAGTATCGTTCTCGTAGAGTTGAGTCTTTTCCATTGGAAATGCCTATTACTCTTCAGGATACAGGAGGGAAAAATGGCTGGCAAATGTATTTATTACCGATTCTTCCCATGTATAATACCATTCAGGGAGGGGAAATGTGCCGGAGAAAAAGTCATAAATATTTATATTTTAATCCAATTTCCTTTCAAAATGTTCCCAATTGTATTGAAAAATTGCATCAAATGCATTTAATTTAACTCTAGGATGTGAAAGCCGCCCAAGCAGAACTGGAGAAAGCCTTTGTGGGGACAGAAATGGAGAAGGCTCTTCGGCTGAGTTTGGAAAGCCAGCTTGCAGCGATGAAGAAGATGCAGGAGGGGGACTTGGAGGTGGCTCTGGCCCTGGACGAGAAGGACAGGTCTGCTGGGATCCCTGTGAAACCCTATTACCCTGCATTTGCAGCAGGGGAAAATATTGCTTCCCTTCCCTTTCCCTGCCTTCTCTCAGCATTCCACACGGGGCAGAATACAGAAAACTAGGGGCAGAATCAGGATGGAAAGGAAAAGAGATAGTAATAGGAGGAGAGCATCAGTAGATAAAAATTCATGTTGAAACATTTTACTTAAATACTAACTCTAGTGTTCAGGATTGGCTAAAAGCCACCTGATACCCAAACAAAAAAAAAACAAAAAAAGGAAGAACCAATTGTGTGGACTTGACATTCACATTACTTCCTAGCTAAGACAAGCCGCAGACTCAGGAAGTGCACTTTTACTTGGCACTGTTAAAGGGAAATTTCGAGTTCGTGGATAATCCAGAATAAGATAGGTGCCGTTTGGTTCAAGGAAGTGGATGCACAAGAGGGCTTTTTAGTTACCATATGTTGCAATTAAGCTTTCGATAAAAATTAGAAGAAACCTGACATTTTGTTCTTACATATTGACCCTCTTGTGTTATTTGATGGTCACTAAGTGAAAAGGATGAGGCTTGCGGTAACCTTGGTTGAAGAGCCTCACGTGTTTGGAATTTGATGACATTGTTCCAAAGTTAATGATGTGTTCCACAGGATTTTGACGTGGTTGATTTTCTTGATCACTCAGTGTCTCCGGGTGGATGGGTCCCATGTTGTTTAGGCCTCTTGTCTAACTGCTGTTTGCCTTTACCCCTGTTCTGGTCCTATTTTGAGACCTGAATAAAGACTTATCTTCAGTCATGGTTTAGGAAATCAGATGATTGTTCATCTGGATTATTAGTGAAAGGAGCAATGGATGCCAAGGGAGAGCCTGTGGCCTCCAAACTTAAGTGTGCTAGCTTCAGCATTTGGAGGAACTAGTATTTGTAGGATGCAATGTAGATTTTTCTCACCTCTGTTTGGGAAGATGGAAGTGTTGCAATTAGGAACTGAAGTCTCTGAACCTTGGTAGAGGAAGTGAGTGTGACAATTTGCCTGTTTAAGGCCTTGAGTTTTTCTTTTTTTCTTTTGTCGGTTGTGGGGCTTGAACTCTGGGCTTGGGAGCTATCCCTGCGTTCTTCAGCTCAAGGTGAGTGCTCTACTGCTTGAGCCACCGCACCACTTCTAGTTTTCTAGTGGTTAATTGGAGATAAATTGAGTCTCATGACTTTTCTGCTCCGGCAGGCTTTGAACCGTGATCTTCAGATCTCAGCCTTCTCAGTAGCTAGGATTACAGGTGTGAGCCACCGGCGCCCGGCTGGCCTTGAGTTTTTCTTGGCCACATTGCAGTAATAGGAGTCTTCCTGGAGGGGGCACCTTGCCAAGCTCCACTCTTAATTATTGACCTTTCCAGGCAGCATCCAAGAAGTCAGGAGCCACTTGACTGAGAAATTCCCACCTAAAATTCCACATTCTCTTCCCAGCTGATTAATAGTGAAGCTCTAAGAGTCTTTTTTTTTTCCAATTGTGAAAATACCGTACAGAGGGGTTACAATTACATGGACAAGATAATGAGTACATTTCTTATCAAGCATTGTTGCTTCCTTCCTTGTTTCCCCTTCCCATCCCTTCCCATCCCTCCCTCTGCCCTCCCTCCCCCTCCCCCCTTCTCCCTCCCCTCCACCCTCCCACACCCGCCAAAGTTGTAAAGTTTGTATTTCCACATAATGACTTGTACATCTCTTATGGACTTGTTTTCCTACACTATAGGTTCTAGCAGTTAAATTGGGGTAGAAGCTCAAGGAATGGAATAGAATAGAGTAGAATGTGGAATAGAATTCCAAGTGCCTGTGATGAGGAAGAAAGGAGGAGGCTGGAAGGGGTTTGCAAAGAAGTCCTGAAATAGAGCTGATTGGAAAGACCCTGTGTGTGTGTGTGTGTGTGTGTGTGTGTGTGTGTGTGTGTGTGTGTGTGTGTGTGTGTGTGTGTGTGTGTGTGTGTGTGTGTGTGTGTGTGTGTGTGTGTGTGTGTGTCTGCCCACCCCCCGTGAGTGTGTGTGCGCGTGCACGCGTGTTTGGGGATGTCAGTGAAGCTTGTCCGGCAATTCATTGCTTCTGTTGGATCATCATGTCCTTCATTCAACAAATGTTTCCTTCGAATCTTCTGTTCTACATAATAGGATTGGAATAAAGGACTGAATGATACCAATTAGATCATTCTCATTCATCATCGAAATTTAAGCTTGTCATGTAGTGAGGTGGAAAGGGTGGAAGAGGCACAAACAGCACAATCATTACCAAATTCAGTTTAGAGAGACTAGAAGTTTCCTGTAGCAAGTCCAGTAGTCCTCTTTTAATCTGTAGGGGATGTGTGAATACCTGAAACCTGAGTGTATGTTTTGTCCTACTCATAATTATATTAGAAACAGTAAAGGCATCGACAACAATAATAAAGCAGACCAAACACAACAGAATTCTATAATAAAAGCCTGTGACCATGTTCTCTCTCTCAAAATACCTTACTGTACTGTGTATTGTTGTGATTCCCCACAGGTTGATGCACAGGCATTGTGTGTTTGTTCTGTTAGGGTTACTTGGACACAGCACTTTGTAACAGTCCATGTGATAGCCAGGATGACTTCTGAGTGACCAATGGGTGGGTAGCATCTATAGCATGGATGATTCATGTGCCAGGTGGGAAGGAGAGGACAGTATGAGATTTCATTATGCTGTAGTGTGACATCCATTTAACATTTATGAATTATTTCTATCATTTTCACTTAATATATTTGGACCGTGGTTAACTACTGTGAATCTACTTTAGGTAAATGGATAAAGATGAGCTATTGTATGAGGCTGAGGAGAAATTACTTGGACAAAGAAATGGGTGTAAGGAGTTCCAGGGATAGGAATGGTTTGTATAATAGTCCAGATGAACAGGCAGGCAGGAAAAGCCATTCAGCATGGCCAAGTATTATGTTCTGGCAGGGCAGTGGGAAGAGGTGGGGCTGTGTGGAAGGTCTGGGTTTCATCCTGAAGGTATGTGAGAAGCCACTGGAGTGTGAGGGATGAGGTTTGGGGGCAGGACCACAGTCAGATTTAGAGAGATCCCTTGGCTGGAATGGATTTGTTTGCTCTGGGTTTTTGTAGAAGGTTGGTCTCCTGCTGATAAAGACATTTACAGGGGAGGTGATGGTGACCAGGATGGACCAGCTTGGAAGTGAACAGGTGGAGATGGGAGAAGGTGGCGTGCATGTGAGCTTCCAGGGCTTGGTTGGCTGAGGGAAGAGCTACAGTATTACTTAACCTCTCCCAGCATGAGCAGATGAGCCATACTAGTGTGGTTTGCTGAATTTGGGAGAAGAAAGAAGATGTGCTTTTGAGTGGAACTAGTGGACAGATGATGCTTTCAGATACAGTTCAAGGAGTCTGTGAGTGGAGGCCAGGAGGTGGGTGGATACATGGATCCAGGCTAACATTAGAGGACATGCATATTCCTTCTTTAACTGAGGAGTCAGGCCTGGGGCATTTGTGTCTGGAATGCAGAGATACACAGGGTCTTGTTTCTGTGGAGCACCCTTGTGGTTTTGTACATCCTGATGGATGTAGCCATAGAGGTGAGTTCAGGACTCTGTGCTTGGGTGTGGGGCAGGGAAAGCCCTTCAGGAGGAACCCTGGGAGTTTCCAGCCCAGAAAGAATGCCAGGGTTCAGAGGCTGGCACGTTTCACAGGAGAGCTAGAGGAAAACTGTCTCTGTCAGGGTGTCCTGCCTAAGTTTGACTCGCTCATTTGGGAAGGGAGTACAGAGTGTGGTAGACCACGTGGAAGTGGGGGATCAGGTCAGGGCTTCACGGAGGCGGCACTTTCCTGGAGGTTCCCACAGAACTTGCTGGATGGGCAGAGTCTGCTCTGTCAGTGTTGTGAATGCATCTGCCTCAGGCACAGAGGTCCCAGTCATACCCCACTCTGAGGGCAGCAGCCAGCTCTTCACTGACTTGGGTGATACTCTCTGGGGTTTAGGATCCGTGTGTTCCCTATCTGAAGCTCAGCCAAGGTCAGATGGTTAGCGTGGCTAGCTAGCTGGCTTCCGTGGTTGTGTCCTGGTGAGAAAAGTCCAGGTCTGCTGCACGCAAGAGTGACCCAGTGCTGGGCAGGCAGACTGTTAGGAGTAGAGGTCTGCCCCTTCCTCGGGTGGGCCCTGCCAGCATCTTTCTGGCTCCCAGCATCTTTTTCAGAGGCACTTACAGTCACTGCTTTCTTTCCTCCAGTCTGGCCTCTCAGCTGTTCTGTATGTTGGAGGCAGTGTCGGGGAGCCCTGCAGGTTGAATGTGGCTAGCATATACCTTTTCTTTGGTCTCCACAGAATTTTTCAGTTTGAATAGTTGCCAATATTGAAAACGGTGAATTTCACACAAAAGTATGAGTTTGTAGCTTCTCTTGAAAGCTTGAAGATGTGGCAGCGCCAGGCTCCATCTGTGGCAAGGAGGCTGCTATTCTCTGTCAATGAGCGGAGTTTTATTTGGCCTCAGTCTCACCTCGTGATCCCAGCCCTCTACACATTTTCATCATATCTAGAACATACTTGATGCTAATTAGCAAGGAGCAAATAAACAAGTTTATGGAGTTAGCATTCTATACAACTTGGCGTGACTGTACATTTCCACTTGATTTTGGGCTTATTTTAGAGCTGAGCCCCTAGAGGGCAGTCTTGCTCCTTCCTCTGTGTTTTGGGCAACACCACACAGGTTGCCTGGTGCCCCCTGCCCCATTGAAGGGCGTTGCTGGATATGTCAGCCGCCTCTATCACCTGACCTTCCCTGGGGGATGCTGATTGCTTCATGAAGGTGGCCCTCTGAGCCTCTACTCTGTGTACCACGTTCAGATACTGTCCAGGCTCAGCTACAGAAGAGCTCTTCTGAGTATTGGAGTTCTAATCGTTGAATGTTCTAAAAATGTAATATTTACTGCAGGTGTTACTTGCTGAGTTCTGCTGTATGTCAGGCAATGTGGATTCCCCAGGCCACACAAGCACGTTGCCCCATTCTATAACCAAAGACATGCAGGTGCAGAGGTCACATGACTTGTGGTCAGAGACCAATTCCTGCAAGGTGGCTTGGTGGTTCAGAGAAGGATGTCTTCAGCTCTGCCTGAAGGGTTTGGTGGGAGCAAAGGTTCTTTGAGGAGAGGATATAGGGAGCTTATTGAATGGAGATGGGGGCAGGGTTGGGAAGGACATTCCAGGTAGAAGGTATTGATAGCACGTGCAAAGGCATGGGGGAGGTGGGGCATAAAACAGCCTGGCTTTGAAGAGAGCTGGAAGTGAGGCTGCTCAGTGGTAGTGGGGAGGCTTTCCTGGGAGATCAGCCTGCTGTCACAGCCTGCAGAAGGGGCCCCAGAGCCCTGGCCCAGGCATTTGGCTGTTAGCTTGAGAGTCAGTGTGTTTTTAAGCTTTGCTCTGAGAGACTGTGGAGTCACGATCCGCACAGCTCTCGAGTGGCTCCCTGTGTTTGAGCTTTGGCGACAGGCTTCTTTTGAAGAGGGGATTTCTTGGCCAAAAAGTGATTTCTTGTGAAATTATTAGTAACTACTGCTATGGCTGGGGGCTGCTGAAGGGCTTCAGACAGGGTGTGACTTGACCAGGCCGTGGTCTGGCTGCTGTGGCCAGGGGATTCAGATGTTGCACAGATTCTGAGCTCTTGATCTCTGACCTGCAAAATGTAGATTGTGCGTATGTTTAGTTGTAGAGATCTGGCTCCATTTCCAAGTCTCTCCTGCTCCATGGAGCTAAGAGAACAGCTTAGAATTAATATTTAAATTTTGTTCTCTTTTAGGCTGATTGAGGAGTTGAAGCTGTCTTTGAAGAGCAGAGAAGCTTTAATTCAGCGCCTTAAAGAGGGGAAATCTCAGATGGCATCTCCTGATGAGAACGTGGCCTCTGGAGAGCTCGGAGGACTTTCTACTGCTCTGAAGGAAGCTAAGGAGAGAGACGAGGATGAGGTGAGGTGACAGGGCCCAGGGATGGCCGGTAGGGCGGGGGGAGTGGCTGCGACACTTCAAATGGAGCGCCTTCCGTCTACATGGTTCACACCCTGTCGCCTTTCCTCTTCCCTCCCTGTCAGCTGAATGATCAGCAGAAGCCATCTCTGTCAGAGCCCTGGCATCTTTCCCCCCAGCCTCCTATTTATGAACAAAAAACCCAGTTCTGACTGTCTTTCACCATGTGTTAGTTTGTTGTTGTCCAGAGACTTTATTTCCTCCTCTGGGACTTCCTAGGATGAAACTGTGGTGCATTGCACATGTCTGCTCTTCCTCTATGATTAGAGACAATTCAAAGGTGCATTTGCTATGACCCTTGAAAGCCATGGGGGGAGGCCATCCTGGGCCTGGCAGTACTCAAAGGCTCAGTTACCACCCTTTCCAGCCTCTTGGCTGGCTGGTCCCTATGTTGAGTTTAGAACCAGGCTCAAAGGGGTGTTCATGTTTATCTAAAGGCTTCAAGGTCTGGATTACTGATAGCTGGCTCCACACCCCTCTGGCCTCCCCCCTCCCTCCCCTCCCCCGCCTCTAGATGGCCTCCACTGGAGACTACTGGAAGACAGAGGACAGGTAGGTCTTAGTGCCCACCTGCCATTCGTGTTGGACCAAGGGTGGCTGCTGCATGGGTCATTCACAGTGGGGCATGTTCTGGAGGCCCAGAATGGCTCTCGATTTCTTCATGGAGCTGGGTCTTTGTGTTATCCACTGCAGTGAATTTTTTAGTTTTCACATGGAATCATCCACTGTCTCTTGTTCTTCCTTTTAAGCCTGTGTCTCACCTCTGGCCCTGTTCTCTCCTAGCCCCTTCCATTTTGTCCTGAAGCACCCTGGTATACTCTTGAGGCCCGGGGGTTGGGTGGGGCGGTGGTGGCTGGTGATGAAGCAGGCTGCTGGTCTTTATGATTTTTGTACTCAATCCAGGAGAGGCCTTGGGTGGAGCTGAGAGAGGGAGGGCACACTGGTTTGGAGGATCTTCATGTTGGCGAGTAAATGAGGTGCTCACTGTAATTGTTCTGGTGAGCCTTTGGGTCATGGACACCATTTTCTCTGGTTGACTGACACCAATCAATAATGCCTTTTCTTAGGCCACACAAACGGAGCGCCAGAAGGAGAGAAATCACTTTGAAGAGAGGATCCAGGTCTGTTGATCTAATTTGAAATTTTATTGAAGATTTGCCCTGTCTTGCTTTTGCTTTATTCTGAGTGCAGCAGATAATTCTCTCTATCAGTGGCTGTCACTTATTGAGTGCCATGTGCTAGATGCCAGCTGTGCCTAAGGTACATTAGAGGGAGGGTCTCCAACTGCAGTAATAGGCGGACAGGCCCACTCTGTAGGTGTGGCACCTGACACTCAGAACAGGGTGGCCCTTTGCCCTGGGATTCAGGCCTGTCCCACAGCCCATTTGTACAGCATCCCCTGTTTAGAAGTGCTGTCTCATCTGTGTCTGGCTTGATCCTCCCCAGCCCAGGAGAGGTAGTGGTGATCAGCTTCAGAAGTGAACTCAGTCTCCCTCAATCCCAATTCTCCGCTAGCTTTTGTAGCATCAAGGAGTGAAATTAATGATCTGTTATTTTTCCCCAAATAACCGGGGCTAGTTTCAAAGACTCTGATGTGACTGAATTCAGATTCTAGAAGGCACTAGTGTACTCACAGGAATAGCTGCCACCCTTTGAGCTGGTCTGATCCCTCCCCTTGCCCAGTCCCGTTGCCGGGAGCGCTAGCAGAGAAACGTGGAGCTAATGCCACAGCGTTCAGCTCCACTTGGAAACATTAATCACAGGTTGACAGGAACGAGATAGAATAACTGCGTTTGAGTGTTCTCTTAAAGATATATTTACAGTGCATTTTGGTGAGAATGCATCAACTTAGTGATTTTTTTTTCTAATCTAATTTAGGCACTTCAGGAGGACCTGAGAGAGAAAGAAAGAGAAATTGCTACAGAGAAGAAAAATAGTTTAAAGAGGGATAAAGCTATCCAGGGCTTAACCACGGCACTAAAATCAAAGGAAAGAGCGGTACGGCTGATGCACTTGAAGTGGAGGTTTTCTTTATTAGTTTCCATTGCTAGCCTTTCCTACCATGAAGTTTTAGCTTTAGATAAAAGTTTTAAGAGAGCTGAGATAATGGAAAGTAGGCAAAGGATCCTTTTTGTCTAGTGGAAATTCTCTTGGAGTACAGTATCAAATCTAGTGTGGTTCTCTCTCCCCTGCCTCCAATAGGAGTTAAACATACAGCTTTTAATTTTCCAATAGCCATATTAAAATGAATACAAAGAAACAAGCTAAACTAACTTTAACATGCACAGACACGATCATTTCAACATGTGATCAAATCAGTCAAAAGTCTCATTGAAGTAATTAATATTTCATTTTTTCAGCACCAAGCATTTGTAGTTGAGACACACTTTGCGAGCATTTCAGTTTATCCTCAGCTCACCATGTGGCTCAGTGTGGCTCACGAGCTCCGCCTATGGCCAGTGGCTCCGCTGCTGCCCAGTGCAGGTGGAACCTCAGGGAGGAGGACAGAACCCTGAGACGCAGGGATTTTGGAGGCAAGGCTGTCGCTGAACCAGTTAGTTCGGAGCCAGTGGTCTGTGCTGGAGGCCGTTCTGTCCCTCAGTCAGTGAAGCAAGAGAAGAGAAGAGACCCAGTTCGGCTAGCAGGTGTAGTGAGCGAGGTGGAGGCAGGCCTTGTCACAGGAGGCACAGGGCACAGGGAGGGAAGGGAACCTGATCCAGGTAAGGGTGGGGTGGGGAGCAGGGAGCTGGGTCTTACAGGATGAGTGGTGCGGGCTTGGATGGGAGGTGGACGGGTGCGGGGTGGGGAAGGTGCATGGTGGAGGAAGCGGGGAAGCCATTGTGGACAGGGAGAGCATTGAACATTGGTGAAGGCCTTACATTAGGAGAGAGCCTGAAATTCTAAAAGAAGCCGGGCCAGCTTCAGGGGACGCAGGGGAGGGTGGTTGAGGGGGGCTGGCAGTGTAGGTGGGAGCCAAGGGAGGCTAACTAGCATGTGGTCCCAGCGAGAGAACTGGACAGAGAGGTGGAGGTAGATTGCAGAAGTAAGGCCACAGGCCAGAGTAGGGGATTGGGTGTATGACTCCAGAGAGGGCCCCAGTGCAGAGCACAGGAAGTGGAGAATGGGGTGCAATGGGGCAGTGGGGGAAGGGTCTGCTCAGAAGGCACCGACAGGCCCTCCAGGAGAGCTGTGCTGCAGGCAGAGGCACCCCAAGGTCTACAGCTTCCACAGGCTCCAGCCTGGAGGGCTGATGGATGTGGGAGTTCAGGTCCTGAGAGCTGACCTGCATTCCCATGGAGAGGAGAATGGGAAGGAAGGAGGAAGGTGTCAGAACTTCAACGAGGGGCAGGGATGTACACAGGAGCAACAAGACTAGTTTCAGGCATAGGAAATGGGTCCTAGAGTGGCTTCCAGCAGTCTACTCCCTACTCTTGTCTGTTGACCCAAGGGCTCCACTAGACCACTCGGAAGCCCAAGCTGCCAGTGTGCAGACCTTACCTTCACAGAGCAACAACACTTGTGGGGACTGGGCCCCCTAGAGGTGAAGCACTGGTGAGGACTAGCCTGCCTAGAGAGCCCACAGGGGTCTTCCCTGGATTCTGAGCACTGCACAGTGCGGTGGGAAAGGCATCGGGGCTGAGCTGGGGAGGAGAGCCTGTTTGCATCCCTGTCTGCTGTGTCTTATTCCCACCCCGCTCCCTCAGGTTGAGGAACTTAACGCTGAAATCAAAGATCTCAACGCTGCCTTCGCAAAAGCCAAAGAAGCCTCCCAGAAAACCCAGACCCAGGTAAGAGTTCATGGGCCTGGTTTAAGCGACTATCTTTGATTCTGACTCCTGATGGGTAGGTACTTTGGCGGCGAAGGGAACTGGGATGACTTTAGTAAGGAGGGCCATGGTTCTTTCACAGGATGTTCCCCACGGCCCGGGAGCTTCTCCAGCCCCCTCAGTGCGATAATGCTGATGGTGACAGCTCCTCCCCCAGGGGAGTGCTGCTTTTACTCTGGGCCAAGTTTTAGATAGTGCAGGATACATAGAGTATCTCATTTAATTCTCACAGCCCTGTGGGGGAAGGCAGTCCTCCATCCCAGCAAGGGGTACAGTATATCCACTGTCACACAGCTACCAAGCAGCAAGGCCAGGATACAAATGTAGCAATTGCAGATTACTGCGGTATTTATTGAACACCTACTTCGTGCCCAGCTTCACTTAGTGATCCCTATAGATCTCACTTATCTGTGCATCCTTGTAAGGAAGTGCTAGGCTGGCTTTATTGGTAGGAGATTCACAGGACTTGCTTAGGGTAACAGAATCAGCAGGTGGTAGCGCTGGCATTGGCCCAGAGCCGGTCTCCCTGGCCAGCCCAGTCTTCCACCTGTCATCTCGTACCTCCCTCTGGGCTGCCTACTCCCTTCTGGTCTTGGGACCTGTCTTTTCTTTTTCTATCCTTGGTTCCTAGTGTGTGGACTGCTACTAGTCATCTTGATATTCTTGCCCTTTTCCTAACTGTAGTTTTGTGCGTATAATTATTTCAGCATTTCCTTCCCATATTTCTAGTTTCCTTGTGCAGCTTATACCTATGACAATAACTTTGAGTCACTTGAGACCCATTGTTACAATAAGCTCATGTTACTGCAGCTCTCCTCCCACTTCCTGAGGCCATGTTGCTTTTGGTGGCAAAGTGGAAGTTGGTTCTTCAGTGGAATTTAAGACAATCATAGATTGTCCTTCACATTCTGGCCACATCCTTCGCAGAGCTTTGGCTCACAGGGGAGTAGCGGAAGTAATTGGTTTGAGTATTGGTATGCGAGCAACATGAAGGACCTTGGACTTGCCCCTTTCTCTGTTCTGACACGAGGGGACTTCTACACAGTGTTTAGTTTTTGTCTTGCTTTTGCGATAACAAACTTTAAAAGCTGATTTATTAGGAAAACCATCAATGTTTTCCATTGCTTAAAAAGAAACCCATACCAAGATATACTGGTAATTAATAGCCAGAAAACAGACATCTGGTATTGTGCTGGTAAAATGACTATGTTAGGTTCTGAAGGAAAGGCAGCATTGTGGGGATTTTTTTTTCTTTCTTGGTGGTGCTGAGCTTTGAATTTAGTGCCTTGGGCTTGCTCTTCTGGCACTCTTATCACTTGAGCCACTCTTCTAGAACTGCTTTTGGGTGATTATTTTGGAGATGGGGTTTTGTGGATTTTTTTGTGGGCTGGCCTCGAGCCACAATCCTCTAGGTCTCAGCCTCCTAAAAAGGTGTGAGTCATCAGTGCCAACTGTTACCCAGGTTTATGACATGCAGTTATTTAACAGCCTTAGTTGAAAGATGATAGAAGTGATATTTGAGCTCTAATAGTGCAGTGTCGGCTGGGTTGTTTTTCTTGCACTCCAGAGAGATCAGGAGCTGTATGTCACACTGATGCTGGGAGAACCTTCACTGCATCTTTATCCAGGAAGGATAAAGGAAGTGTGTTTGTGAACTTGAGAGTTTACAGTGGGACCCAAACTTATGTCTAACTCCAGAGCCCTAATTATGCGTGAGTGACTGCCCCTGCTAGCTCACGTGGGCTGTTTCATTTGTGGGCTAGAATGAATCTTGTGCCAGCCCAAGATGGTGGCTTATGCCTGTAATCCTAACTGCTCAGGAGGCTGAGATCTGAGGACGGCAGTTCAAAGCCAGCCTGGGCAGGAAAGACCATGAGATTCTTATTTCCAATTAACCATCAGAAAACTGGAAGTGGAGCTATGGCTCCAAGTGGTAGAGTGCTAGACCCATAACTGAAAAAAAAAAAAAAAAGAGAAAAGAAAAGAATGCATGTAGACACAGAAATGCATTTCTTTGGCATCTTGGGACTTGTGGGGAAGTCATGTGATTTGAACGAATTGCAGCATGAGTTAAGTGGCTAGCAGTCACAGGATTGACATCAGCTGGATACTGAAGCAGCAGTGAATGTTATTCCAGTCCTGGAGTGGTCACAAAGTTCACAAAGTTCAGGAGCTCAGAGACTCAGCTTCTGAAGGTAGCCCTGCCTCATGTAGGTACCATGTGAACTGGCTGATGCTCCTCTGTGCTCATTTCAAATCATTTCCAAATTGGAATTGGTATCCCCTCCAGCTATGAGAGTAAAAAATGCATGTTGTAAGCTGGGTGCTGGCGGCTCATGCCTGTAATCCTACTATTCAGGAGGCGGAGATCTGAGGATCATGGTTCAAAGCCAGATGGGCAGGAAAATCTGTGAGGCTCTTTATCTCCAGTAAACTACCAAAAAGCCAGAAGTGGAGCTGTGACTCAACTGGTAGAGTGCTAGCCTTGAGCAAAAAAGCTCAAGGACAGTGTCCAGGCCATGAGTTCGAGCCCTAGGCCCAGCACACACACATACAAAAAAAGAGCACATTGTAGGATATGTATGAAATTCTTAAGGCAGAAAAAAGAAGTTGACAGAAATCACCCATAAGCTCACTTTTAAATGTTTATTATTAACACTTTGACCCTCTCAGTACACATTTATATATACTCCAGTCCTTTTTTGCTTTATAGTTATTTCTCAAGGTTTTTCTCTCTTCTTTCCCCCTCCTTCCCCCCAGCTTAATCTTTCTACCTGTCCCTTTTGTGTTGCTGGGATTATGGATTTGTACCATCAAGCCCAACTTACTTGTTGAGCTCTCCTCAAACTATGATCCTTTCAATCTCCACCTCCTGAACAGCTGGGATTATAGGTATGTGCTACCTTGTCTGGTCCTAGTCTTTTTAATTTTATTTTGAGATATTTTTTTCTTCAGAGATAATTGTCTCCCAAGTCCTGGAGCTAACAATGGTCTTAAACCCAGACCCATCTTACTTTTTATTAAGATCATCATGTTTTTATAGTAGGCAAGAGTGATTTAATGTTATATTTGACCTTTAGTTTCCAACGTGTTTAATTGTGCCAAATATTTGCTACTTGGGTATCATTCAGAAAAAGGTAAAACGCCCTCTAGGAAAGTTTTTCAAAGGGTCATTTAAGGAAGATGCAACACAGAATGTGTTTTTATGCAATGAATAGAATCTGTGCACTGGACTTCTTCAAGCTTAGGTTTTGTTATTGTTATATGTGATGGCGGCAGATCCTTTACCACTGGATAATAACAATGAATAATTATGTTCAGAAAGCCCCTAACAGGTGCTCCCATCTTTGTCTTTGCATCACGTCCATTCTTTCTGGGTGGTCACTGGACTCTGCCCTGCTGAGGGCAAGATGGTGAGAGCTAGGGGAGGAACATAGACTCCCAGCTACTCCGGGCCCAGATTCAGGCATGAGGCCTAATGATACACTACTTATTCAGCAGTTCTAAGCCTAAATTACTTCCATGGGCATAATAAAGATGTGTGAAAAATATGATACATGTAAGAGTGCTTCTTTCATTATTTTTGTGTTTTTTTGACAGTACTAGGCTTGAAGTAAAGGCCTTGTACTTGCTAGCCAGTTGTTCTACCACCTGAGCCATGCTTCTAGACCATTTTGCTTTTGTTATTTTTCTAATAGGATCTTGCTTTTTGCCTAGACTGGCCTAGACAGTGATCTTCCTACTTACGCTTCCTATGTAGCTGGGTTGATAGGTACTCCACACCATGCCCAGCTTTTTAATTGATTGAAGTGAGGTCTCACATGCTTTTTGCCCTGGCTGCAATTGAACTTTGGTCTTCCTGGTCTTTGAATCCTGAATAGCTAGGATTATAGATGGGGGCTACCATGCCTGGCTTTAGCTGCTATAGTGTAGTCAGTGTTTAATAAAAGGAAGGGGCAAATATTGCTCAAGATGAGCATTTTCTGGTCATTGTTGACTTTTTTTTTGTCTATTGAGTTTATTTAAGTACTGCCACAGAAATTAAAAGAATGATCTCATGACCTAGGTTTTCTGCTCCTTTTTATTTAATTCCAATTTGTGTTAGAATTTGAATGGTGCTCACTCTCATCTTACGTTGCTGTAACGTGGTGTCCTACATTGCCAGAAATGTGGGGCCCTGCACCTGTGCTTGAGAAAACTTAAGACAGCAGAGGTACTCTGCCCCTCACTTAGCTGTAGTCTTGCTTATTTCCTAAACAACCGTCTTGATACTCTGACTATCTGGTGATAGGGGCAGAGATGGATTTCCTAGAAATGCCAGTAAACTGGGGCCTTCTTCATTCCAGTCTGGGTTGTGACTTTGACAACTCAATTGCCCTTCTTATTTATTTTTTAAAAATGATACCAGAATTGGGACACAAGGCCTTGAGATTGCTGGGCTTGCTTGTTTGGCACTCTACCACTTGGCCATGACCCTAGCCAAGTCTTATAGATTTTCCTGTTTTGGCTGACTTTGAACTCTGATCCTCAGGATATCAGCCACTTGAATGGTTGGGATTATAGGCATGAGCCCCTAGTACCCAGCTTGCCATTTGTTTTTTAATTTGCTGATCAAAAGAATATATGTACAAAGTTTTTCTCCCAATTAGAAATATATACATGTTTCAGAAATATTTCTAGAAAATTAGAATGAAGGGGGAAAAAAAAGAGAAATCTAGAAATCACCTAAGCAGTATCACCAGTCTTCTAGGCTTTCTTACATGTGTAGTTTTTTTCTTTTAAGATCATTTGCAGTGGTGGTGTTTTATTTTCATATAGCAATGTTTTTGATTCTTTTCATTGTGTGTCACAGTTTATTTTTATGGTATTGCATATTTAGGTGGCTTCTTAGTTTTTGCTGTTGTTAGTAATTCTGTGATGGATGACTTTGTATGTAAGGCTTCCCCTGTATTTGGATTCTTCCAGGATTGAGTGGAGTAACTGGGATGCGTATGAGCCTGCTCTGCTGAGCACATGTGCTTGACATGCATCATCTATCTTGAGAGGGTTATGTTCATTTGTATTCTCTCTAGTTTACTTCCTGGCTTCTAGGGGCATAGCCAGTTCTTGAAGAATCAGTAGGATAGGTGTCATATCATAAGCTCAACTAGTATCAAAAGCTCTGAGAACAATCTTATTGGGCTGGAGGTGTGGTTTAAGTGGCAGAGCTCTCTGACTAAGAGGTGTGAAGCCCTGAATTCAAACCTCAGTACCATTAAGAAAAAAATCTTAGTTGACAACTGGGAATGTGTTTCACTTTGTTTCTTTTTGATTTTTGGTGAATTAATGAGTTTAAGATATTCTTGACCCCTTTAGCTTTTGGTCGTTGCTGAAGTCCAGGTTTCCTGAAGCTCTCCAAGGGGCAACTGTGCTGACTACTTGCTCCCTTTTCTTGGGATGCCTGTGGGTCAGAGCCAGGCTAACATAGGAGACCATTATTGGCTTTTGGATTCAGATCTGCTTTACAAAGGAAGCTCTTCATTTCCTGCTTCTTTGTTTTTTATGGCACTAGGGATCAAACCCAGGGCCTTGTGCCTGCTAGCCTGGTGCTCTGCCTCCATGCTCCCCGGCCCCCCCCCCCCCCCCCCCCAACACTGGCCATCTACCTGATCTGCCCAAGGGACTGCTGAATGCTGGTGCACCTTCCACCACTGAACTATGTCTAAAGTGACTGCATTAAGTTGTCTTTAACTCATTTATTAAAGTAACATGCTCTCTTGGAAATGAAGTGAAATGTAAACTGCAGTCTCACTCTGTGAAGTCAGTGGTGGTTAACATTTTCTTTTGTGCTTTTCCTTCTTGTGTTGTGAAAAGCACTGACTTCCCTCCCTTCCCATTAGTGTCATTACAGGCACATTGTCCTGTGTTGCTTAGGGCTTGCTGTTATTTGTGGCTTATGACTGGATGCTGTGGATGCTCATCTTTTTCTTGGCTTCTGGGACCGTGCCCTGAAGTGGGGAAGATCAGCGCCCTCCCTCCTCCTGTCCATTCTCTTCTAGGGGTCTGAAGATCACCAGGCTGCTTTGGCGGAGAAGGAAGCCCTGTTGGCTGAGCTGCACTCGGAAAACCTCACCAAGAGCACTGAGAACCACAGGCTGCGGAGGAACATGAAGAAGATGAGCCAGGAGCTGGGCGAGCTGCAGCAGGAGAAGGCGAGGCTGGAGCAAGAGCTGGACGAAGCCCGGCGGGAGGGCAGCCGAGGAGCTCGAACTGCCAACGTGAGTGTGCCTGCTGCGTGTGTTCACACCCAGTGCTGGAAACTCATCATTCCCTCAACTAGGAAGGACCAGGGTCAGTATAATGGCCTCATGTTGAGTCCATTATACTCTGTCTCTACTAGTATCAAGGTGAAATAGTTTTTTTTTTAATTGTGAAAATACTGTACAGAGGGGTTACAATTGCATGGGCAAGATAATGAGTACATTTCTTATGAAGCATTGTAGCCTCCTCCTTTGTTTCTCCTTCCCGTTCCTTCCCTTCCTCCCCCCCACCCAATACTCCCCCCCCCCACCAAAGTTGTAAAGTTCGTTTTCTACATAACGACTTGTACATCTCATTGTTGCAATGGGTCCACCTGTATCCCTATTTAAACGATTTGTTTTTTGCCTTTCCCCTCCACAAATTATACTGACATCAAATACAGTGAAATCAGGGGTTATACCGTGGGGGAGGGACATACAAACAACAAAGAAATAATTTATAAATGTGTTAGAAGCAATCACATGAAAGAAAAAAAACATTTGAATGCATATCTTAGGGTTCATTTCCCTAACATCAGCTTACCTGACCTTTTCTGCTTGACTCAGACATACTAGTAATTGCAAATAGGGGAAACCATGGGACCTGTTTCTTTGGGCCTGGCTTACTTCAAGGTGAAATAGTTTTGTGTCCTGCCTTTTGATTCTTTTCATTCTCTTGTTCACTCGTGGGCATATTGCCAATATTCAGAAACCTGGTTTTTTTTTTTTTTTGGTGACAGTATAATATTCCATCACGTAGATGCTCTATAATTTATTAACTTGACCTTTATTATAGCACATTGGGTTGTTTGACTTTTGGGGGATGAGGGCAGTACAGGGATTTAAATTTTGGATTTCCTGCTTGCTAGGCAGATGATCTACCTCCTAAGCTATGCCTCCAGCTTCTTTTCTTTTTTTAAAATATTTTTTTCTTAAGATAAGGACATACTTTTTGCCTAGGATGGCCTGGACCATGATCCTACTATTTCTACTTTACTCATAGCTGGGATGACAGGTGTATACCACCATGCCCAACTTTCTGTTGAGGTGGAATGTCATGACCTTTTTTTCCCCCAGCTGGACTGGAATTGTGATTCTTTAGATCTCAAGCTCTTGCATAGCTAAGGTGACAGATGTGAGTCAGTGACACCTGGCTTCTCTGATTCTCCTTCCTTCCTTCCTTCCTTCCTTCCTTCCTTCCTTCCTTCCTTCCTTCCTTCCTTCCTTCCTTCCTTCCTTCCTTCCTTCCTTCCCTCCCTCTCTCCCTCCCTCCCTCCCTCCCTCCCTCTCTTCCTTCCTTCCTCCCTCCCTCCCTCCCCCTCCTTCCCTCCCTTCCTCCCTCCTTCCTTCCTTCCTTCCTTCCTCCTTCCTTCATTCCTTCCTTCCTCCTTCTCTCCCTCTCTCCCTCCCTTCCTCCCTCCCTCCCTCCCTTCCTTCCTCCCTTCCTCCTTTCTTCCTTCCTTTGATAATGGAGATTAGACTCTGGGTCTCATGCTCTTCCCTTAGCTTTTTTGCTGAAAGCTATAATTCTACTATTTGAGTCGCACCTCTACTTTTGGTTCTTTGCTGGTTAATTGGAGATAAGACTCGCATGGACATTTCTGTCATTGAACTGCAAGCCTCAGATCTCAGGCTCCTGAGTAACTTGGATTTCAGGCGTGAATCACCAGTGCCTCGTATATTTCTGATAGAGGTGTAATACTGAGTCAGAAAGTCTGAGTATTCTAAAAACTATTTTATAAACATAGTCAGATTGTTTTCCAGAAAGATTATACAAGTTTTCTTCTCTGTAATTTTTAAAGACTCTTCTCTATTCAGCATTGGGTATTAGCATTTAAAAATTCTCTCTAAATTTAGCATGCTTATTAAATTTCAATTATCTCTAAACTTAAGTACTCAGCAATTTCAAATTTAATCCCTCCTGAGAGTCGTGTGGAGATGTGTCGTCTTTGGCGTGATCATGTAGGAAAGGGTGTTAAGTGATCATTGACATGAGGTTAATGAATTACCTGTCCTGCAGCCTTGGCGGGCAGTCATTAGAGAGTGCTCTCCAAGCGCCACAGGTGCCACTGGGTAGTTTTCTGGGGGCTGTTGTCAGCAGCCAGGCCAGGGTGCATGGATTTTCGTCCCAAAGTTAATATTGAAGACAGAGTGAAGTATACATGTTTGCGTATTTTAATAACATTTTAAACAAACACTAAGAGAACAGTAATAAAATTTAGGGAAATAAGTAAACATCAACTAGTTCTACAATTTTAGCATAGCAACACTTTCTGTAACCAAATTTGCCTTCTAGTCCTGGTCCACCTGGCCTTTCTAATCAGAGGCTAAATACTGCTTTGTGGTTTTTGGGGGTTTGAACTCAGAGAGTTTTGTGCTTACTCAGCTTTCTTGCTCTGCTGCTGTTCTACCACTTGAGCCATGACTCTTGCTCTATTGTTTTGCCGGCTCTTTTGGAGATGGACTCTCATAGACTTTTCTGCTGGGCTGGCAGAAAACAGTGATCTTATAGATCTCAGCTCTACTGCCATCTGCTAGGATTACAGGTGTGAGGCAATGATGCCATCTGCTCTGTGTGTTCCGATCACTCACTGTCATAGGCTCCTCCCAGTGGGTGTACACTCTAGAATGGTCAGGTTAAACATTGAGGTGCTGAACGAATTGGGGTGTTGAAGAGTTGAGGTGTTGAATGGTCAGGTGCATATTGATAAATGGTCAGGTGCATATTGATAAAAGTTGGTAGCTTTTATATGATAATTTACTAATTTCCTTTTTGTTTGAGCATTTTTGGCTGTTAATGCCGTGATGAACATCTTTGAGCATAAAGACATTTTCTTTTGCAATCCTTAGGACAGCCTGAGGAGTGAGATTACTGGTCATATGGTACATATTTTATACTGGTTAATTATGTTCCTGGGTTGTTGGTTCAAAGGTGCAACCTAGTTTGTGCTGCTACCAGCAGCATAGACATAGAGTGGATTGTGAGCTGTTAGAAGGCCCGTGGTCCCCTATCAGCTCACTGCCACTGAATAGTAAGAGCATCTGGTAGACTAACTGATGGAAATGCGAGGTGTGATTTCTTTTTTTTTTTTTTTTAATTTTATTTTATTTTATTTGAGAACATACTGTACAGAGGGGTTACAATTACATGGCCAGGATAATGCGTACATTTCTTACCAAGCATTGCAGCCTCCTCCTTTGTTTACCCTTCACCTCCCTTCCCAGCCTCCCCCCTCCCCCCCACCCAATCATACCCCCCCTTCCCCCCCCCCCACCGACATTGTAAAGCTGGTTTTGACATGACATTTTGTACTTCTCATTGTTGCAACAGGTCCACTTGAATCCTTAAACGACTTGTTTGTCCCCATCTCTTCCACATGTTATACTGACATCAAATATAGTGAAAGCGGGGGTTACACTGTGGGGGAGGGACATACAAAGCAACAAAGAAATAATCTTATAAATGCGTTAGAAACACATGCATGAAAGAAACAAAAACATTAAAATACATATTTGAGGGTTCGTTTTCCTAACATCACATTATCTGACCTTTTCCGCTTGACTCATACCTATACTAGATATTGCAAATAAGGAAAACCATGGGACCTATGTTTCTTTGGGCCTGGCTTACTTCACTTAATGTAATTTTTTCCAAGCTTTTCCATTTCCTAACAAATGGGGAAATGTCATTCTTTCTGACGGAGGCATAGAATTCCATTGTGTATATATACCACATTTTCTTGATCCATTCATCTACTGAGGGGCATCTGGGTTGGTTCCATATCTTAGCTATGGTAAATAATGCTGCAATAAACATAGTTGTGCTTGTAGCTTTAGTGTGGTCTTTTTTGTAAACATTAGGGTAAATGCCCAAAAGTGGAATTGCTGGGTCATAGGGGAGTTCTATGTGAAGTCTTTTGAGGAACCTCCATACTGCATTCCAAAGTGGTTGAACAAGTTTACATTCCCACCAACAATGAAGTAAGGTTCCTTTCTGTCCACATCCCCTCCAGCATCTGTTGTTGTTAGAGTTCTTGATTTTTGCCGTTCTAACTGGAGTGAGGTGATATCTCAATGTTGTTTTGATTTGCATTTCTTTTATGGCTAGGGATGTTGAACATTTCTTCATGTGTCTATTGGCCATCCTTCTTTCTTCTTCAGAGAAGCTTCTCTTTACGTCTTTCGCCCACTTATTTATTGGGCAGTTGTTTCTTTGAGGATTTGTTGTTGGGTGGTTTAATTTTTTGAGTTCCAAGTATATTTTAGATATGAGACCCTTGTCTGTTGTATGGCTAGTAAAGATCTTCTCCCAATCCGTGGGCTTTCTATTGATCTTGCTAGCTATGTCATTTGCCCTGCAGAAGCTCTGCAACTTTATGCAATCCCATTTGTCCAACCTTTCTTTGATTTGTTGTGTTTCCGGGTCTCTATTCAGAAAATTTCGGCCTGAGCCAAGGAGACCTAGGGTTTCTCCTATTCCATCCTGTAATGTTTTCAGAGTGTCTGCTTTGAGTTCAAGGTCTTTGATCCATTTGGAGTTGATTCTGGTGCAGGGTGATATATAAGGATCTAGCTTTAGTTTTCTACATGTAGTTAACCAGTTTTGCCAGCACCATTTACTGAAGAGGCTGTCTGTCTTCCATTCTATTGTTTTAGCTCCCTTATCGAAGATTAGATGGCTATAGGTCTGTAGGTTCATTTCTGGGTTTTCAATTCTATTCCATTGGTCCTGAGGTCTGTTCTTATGCCAATACCAAGCTGTTTTGATTACTATGGCTTTATAGTAGAGTTTGAAATTTGGTATTGATATTGCGAGGTGTGATTTCTAATGGTTTTATGTTTCTATGGGAGATGAAATGTTACACGTGACCACAGGTTAGGCAGTTGAACTTCTACAGCTGAGGAATGTGATTACATACTGAGTGTGGAGATCCTGGAGGAGGGGATGCTGGAGTTGAGTGAGCAGTGTGAGGCTGGGT